TCTGCGCATTTGAGAAGATTATGGTTTCTGATTTTATAAATTTATATTACAGGTTGCAGTGGTGGCCTGGGGAAAGGACTTTATTCAAATGGGGCTGGTAGTGGTGCTGGGCATGGAGGGCGAGGGGGATCAGGCTTTTTCAATGGGAGAGTATGCAATGGAGGTCATACCTATGGCGATCCAGATTTTCCCTGTGAGTTAGGCAGCGGAGCTGAAAGTCCAGATAAATCATATGGGAATGTGATTGGTGGAGGGATGATTGGTCAGAACCATTGCAGTTCACTTTTCTGATTATATAGTTTTTCTATTATTATAGAAAAGCTGGCAGCCAATAGTACACTGAACTATCTGTTTACTCATCTAACACTGTCAAGTCACATGTGCATTTTTTTTCCACCTTTTCAGTAATTGGCTCCATCCATTTTCCTCTTTTGACACTTAATCTGCGTGGGCATCTAAGCTCTGATGGCCAAAGCCTTGGAAAGCCAGTAGCGAAGGGTAACAGATCTTTGGTCGGTGGAGTTGGTGGAGGATCTGGTGGGACGATTCTTCTTTTCCTTCAGAGGCTTGAACTCTCAAAAAATTCATCTCTGTCAGTTCGAGGGGGCCGGGGTGGCCCTCTTGGGGGTGGAGGGGGTGGAGGTGGGAGACTTCACTTTCACTGGGACATGTTACACACTGGTGACGAGTATTTTCCTGTTGCAACCGTCAAGGGCTCCATCAGTAATAGGTATGCACCATTATCACGATTGCATGCTTGTTACTTTGTGGGTCATTTGTAGTTACTGAGGTAAAGGCATGCATATATGCGTTGATTCGTAGTAGTTAATACTATGCATCGCCATGGGTATGAGAGTACAGTGGATTCTCAGTGTTGATGCTTGAGACTCTGCCTATACTATTTTTTTTTTTTTGAAGCAAATTTTGGAACGTGTCTTGGAACTCTGTGGAAAACGTATCTCTATGAGTTTGAAAACAGACCTTGAATTTCTTGCTTTCTGATGTCTTCAGAGGAGGTGCAGGGGACAATGGAGGCCGTTTCGGGGAAGTGGGAACGATGACTGGAAAGAAGTGTCCCAAGGGACTCTATGGTACATTTTGCTTGGTAAGTCTTATGGGTTATTATATTTTAGTTACATCGACACTGGCCATTTATGTCTTAGCTTTTCACCATCGTTGCTTATCCCTCATTCCAGCAACAAAATGGGTGTACCAAACCACGAGATTAGACAGGCCCAGTATTGTTCTTTTAGCATGATTGCAAATCCTGCCTTGTTTGCTTGTGCCTGATACTTTTTTGATATTTCTGGATTCATGCGTTGTTTCAGGAATGCCCCATTGGCACTTACAAGAATGTTGAAGGCTCTGACAAACGTCTTTGTACACCCTGCCCACCTGAGCATCTTCCTAATCGTGCGAAATTTGTATACGTGCGAGGTATTTTATCTTATAGTTCTCTTATCCTTCCGTCCCCTGATATTGTGTTTCTTCTTAATTGAGATGTCTTCTGACGGAAGGATCTTTGATTCTATAGGAGGAGTCAGCGAACCTGTTTGTCCTTACAAATGTGTATCTGACAAGTACAGAATGCCAAACTGCTATACACCTCTGGAAGAGCTTGTTTATACATTTGGAGGGCCATTACCCTTTACTCTTCTTCTATCTTGTGTGGTGGTAGTTCTGGGTCTGTTGCTAAGCACATTAAGTATCAAATTGCTCAGATTAAGTTTCTATGGTGCCGGTTCCATCGAAAACCAGAGTTCTCATTGTTTACCCCATCTTCTGTCACTCTCTGAGGTATGGTGTTGCGGAAATTGCCTTTTCCCAAATCTTCCCTTTTTTGACATAAGGATCCAGTATTGTTCAACCAAACTTTCCGGCCTATTTTTGTCATTCTAGGTACGAGGCGCAAAATCTGATGATACACAAACCCATGCTTACCGTATGTACTTCATGGGTCCAAACACTTTCAGGGAACCATGGCATCTTCCCTACTCTCCTCCTGATGCAATCATCGAGATAGTGTAAGGATATAACTTGTCTGGGTCAAATTCTGTTGCCTTTGGATGCCACTGAATGTTTGAATGAAGTGGGTGAACTAAAAACTACTCGCAAGAATAAGATTAAGTTACAATCTCTTTTGTGCTACTTATTAATAACAAGTATGTCTGTTCTTTACCATTTCCTGAAGTAGTGACTTTTTATGTCGTTAATGCAGAGTCAATTTTCTTAAGTCCTACTCTTTGCTAACCAATGTGACATTAACTCTGGCTCAATTTATTCCAAGGCATGTCCACTCATTGTTTTGTACATTTCTGATTTTGCAGGTATGAAGATGCTTTTAACAGATTTATTGATGAGATTAACTCTACAGCGGCATATGATTGGTGGGAAGGGTCTGTGCACAGCATTCTATCAGTTCTCGCATATCCCTGCGCCTGGTCTTGGAAACAATGGCGTCGCAGGAGAAAAATTCATCGCCTTCAGGAATATGTTAAATCTCAATATGACCACTCTTGCCTCCGCTCATGCAGATCTAGAGCTCTCTACAAAGGCATGAAGGTTCGGGTTCTAATAATTAACTTGTTGCTTCACAATCAGCTAGCTTTTACTTCGCATTTTGACTGTCTGTGTCCAATGTCGAAACAGGTTGGAGCCACTCCGGATCTGATGTCGCATTCGTAGATTTCTTTCTTGGCGGTGACGAGAAGCGTGTAGATAGGGTCTCTATTATACAGAAAAGATTCCCAATGTGCATACTTTTTGGTGGAGATGGAAGTTATATGTCACCCTATAGTCTTCATAGTGATACACTGTTAACAAACCTTCTTGGCCAGGTAATCTTATCTCTCTCCGTATTTTTCTTTTTCTTCCAAAATCTCCACTCTGAAAGTATCCTAATGGCCCCAAATCACTATTTCAGCACATCCCACCAAGTGTTTGGCACCGTTTTGTTGCCGGTTTAAATGCACAGCTTAGGACTGTGAGGCACGGATCAATTCGTTCAGCATTACTTCCTGTCATTCGGTGGATAAACAGCCATGGAAATCCTCAACTCGAATTCCACGGAGTAAGAATTGAACTTGGATGGTTTCAAGCTACAGCTTCTGGATATTACCAACTTGGTATCTTGGTTTTTGTTGGCGATTTTCCTCTGAACTCTGTAAGCCCATCAATTTCATTCAGCAGAAGTGACGACGAGTCACCACGGTGAGCCATTGATAGATTGTGTTTCTCTTTGATCTAAACTGGTCATTATCACTCAACCTGCTTAATCGTAACTCCATTATTCTTGGAACAGCTCTGCATGTCCCAGCAAATCTCTTATTGAGTTGCAACAAAACTTGATCCAACCTGGCCATGGATTATCTCGGAAGAGAATCAACGGTGGAATCAATGGAGGCCTCATCAATGAGATTTCAATAGAATCTCTGGAGTACAGGAGGGACTTACTTTTTCCATTTTCTCTCCTACTGAACAATACCCGACCCGTTGGTCGTCAGGTTACATATTCTCCACTCCTGAATAAACTATTCTCCTGATTTTTTTCTTTCTTTTTATTATCTTCGAATTTTTTTCTTTTAGTTTTGTGTTAACATTAGCAATATCTTCATCTGGTGTATGCAGGATAATCTTTTACGTTTAATCTCCATCCTTCTTCTTGCGGATCTTTCAGTTACGCTTCTCGCATTGCTTCAGTTCTATTGGCTTGCCCTTGCAGCCTTTCTCGCTATTCTCCTGATTCTCCCTCTCTCTCTGCTTTGCCCATTCCCCGCTGGCCTTAACGCCTTATTGAGTAAAGAATTGAGAAGAGCCTCACTTACTCGTATCTACTCCCTTTGGAACGCAACATCTCTAACAAACATAGTGAGTCGATCGATTCAAACGTTTTTCAATACAAGTGTGCTCCTTTATTCTGTATTATATCTTATTCTCTATTTTTTGCAGATTGTGGCTTTCATTTGCGGTATCATTCATTCCGGGTTTTTCTCTGACCAGCAAGATGATCAGATCAACATCTGGAACGCAATAAGGTAGTAACTAGTGTTATTGTTCTGTCCTTGTGTCTTTAAATTATCCACACGAAGAACACTAGCAAAACCCTCCCGTAAATATATTGGATTTTGATCACATGATCTAGCATCTAATACTATCATCAGTCTTAATCTTAAGCTCATTTTTTTTTCTGGTTCTAGAGAGACGCTTTCAGAGATATTCACTATTTGATGAAACTTTTGTTTATAGAACGTGAAACTCTTTTACTTGTTAATGTATAATAAGTAAATTGGTTTTAATGTTTTTGGCAGGGATGATGATAAGTGGTGGGTATTACCAACAGTCCTCTTGTTACTCAAGTCAATACAAGCTCGGTTCCTTGATTGGCACGTCGCAAATCTTGAAGTACAGGATTTCTCTCTTCTTTGTCCCGATCCAGATACTTTCTGGGCATATGAATCTGGAGCTTGACAATCCAAAGACAGACAACATCATTAAAGAAGGAAAGCAAAAGATATATCTTATTTTTTCATGTAAATCTGGTAACAAGTACAACTTCTCAGTGTTAGGTGTTATATGGTTATGTATTCCTGGAGTAAACTTAGGGTTTTGCCAGATGAAATGGTAGTTTTAGATACCAGTGAGAGAGAATGTGAGTTATGTAATGCTTTTAAGTTTTGCAACAACGTACATTTTAGAACACAATGGAGAGCCATTCTAAAAAGTAAAACCTAACCGCAAATTAAGTTAAATTAATTTTTTTTTGTTTGATATCTGAAAGTTCTAATCGAACCTAGATGTTTTGCTATCTAAGTTATAAGAATCAACACACCTGCAAATGGTACAAGAATCAATAAGACTGAAAAAGTTGGGAAGATTAAAATAGCTGAATGAGCCATAAATGGGCTGTGGGCTTAGTCGTTTTAAGACTGGGCCATTCCTAGTTTATGTTTGGCCCAAATTAGAGTTAGAGAACTCGCTCCACGCGCCACCAAAAGCGCGTCAGCTTCAGAGTCCGAGAACACTTGAGCTACAGCATTTTTAAGAGTTCTCGGATTCTCTCTATCGGCTCCTTCTCTCATCTGCGTCGTATTTCCCAATTTTCCCGAGACTCATTCACCACCAAATCGCCGCCATGTTCAGACAAACTTCTCGCCTCCTCTCCCGATCTATCGCCGCCGCATCCTCGAAATCGGCGACGACTCGTGCCTTTTCAACGGAACTTCCATCGACGGTCGATTCGACTTTCATCGAGTCATGGAAGAAAGTCGCACCGAACATTGACCCGCCGCAGACTCCTTCTTCCTACATGAAGCCTCGTCCTTCGATTGCGTCGTCGATCCCAACCAAGCTCACCGTCAATTTTGTCCTCCCTTACACATCTGAGCTTGCCGGGAAAGAGGTCGGTTTTCATATTCTTCGATCGTCGTTTCCATTTTGTTTTTAGGGTTTGATCTGTATTTTATTCCTGGTTTATGTCGTAAGGTTATATCTAGGTATTGGATTGTGTGGATTGTGTTTGGCTTTTGGTTTGTGATTCATCTATGGATTTGTGGAAATTCTTGAACAGCATTTCGTATCGGGTATTTGAATCATGATAAGGTATGAAAATGTGTTTGATTAGGTCTTAGGACCATTGATTTTGGTTAGATCTGACGGCGTTCAATATTAGGGTTTTGATGGCGAAACCTGAGACTAGCAGAAGTGCTGATTTTTGCGGTAAAATGATAACGATATTTTAGTTTCTGGATGTCTTTGAAGAGTCGTTAGGAATGAAGGTTTGCGAAAAAAAAGTTGCACCTGTTAGTGAATAAGAATAACCAAAGCTCCTTAGCTATTCAGGTTAACCATGTGTTGTCTCTGAAAATGGTGCTTGTTGGTTTTTTTTTGGAGTGAGTTTCTTGTTAGATTCATCACTGAAATGTTGAGGCTAGTTGATTAATCCATTGCCCCTCTTAGCTCTTTGTTGATCTATAATTTTTTTTGGGTCAAATGTTGATCAATCATTAAAATGTGATATTTGCTTTGCAACTCTTAAAAGAGGTTTGTTAATTCTATTCATAGAAATGATCCCAATTTTAGTGTTCTGGCTTTTATGGTTTCTATTTCCAATACAATGGTATTGAGAAAAAATGTCTGATTCATATAGAATCTATTATAGTGAGATTTGTGGCCAGTATTAATCCTACACGATATTGATAAACCTGTGTCGAGTGCTGGCTGTTAATATTGTGAATTGGTATAATAAATGTATATCTATTCTCTTTTTTTATTGATATATAATAATGTGGTATACATGCAGACTGAATGTCACTTACAACTTCTTAACTTTCATGGCCAGTTGTAATCTGTTCATTGTTATATCGTATAGTATTCATATTCTCATTGTTTACAGTTAAATACACTGTAGATCGTGCATTCGCTGTGGTATCTTTTCATGTAGAATGCATCGAAAACTTATATCGTCCCAGGCTTACTTCCTGATGCATCGAAAGCTTATACCATCTTTTTTGGCCGGCATCGAAAGCTAGTATCATCATGATCTTCTATTCATACAAAATCAAAAATGACCCCCTTGTTCTTGATTGGTTTCATTCTTGCATCCTTAATCATAACTCAAAGAAGCTTATTGGTTTCTCTTTGTCCACTTAAAGGTCGACATGGTCATCATTCCCGCGACAACAGGACAAATGGGTGTTTTGCCCGGACACGTTCCAACAATTGCTGAGCTGAAACCCGGTATGATGTCCGTTCACGAAGGCACTGATGTGAAGAAATACTTCGTGAGCAGTGGTTTCGCATTCCTCCACGCAAATTCGGTCGCAGACATAATAGCGGTCGAGGCCGTGCCGCTTGAAAACATTGACCCTAGCCAAGTCCAAAAGGGTTTAGCTGAGTTCACACAGAAACTAGCTTCTGCCACAACAGACCTTGAGAAAGCAGAAGCACAGATTGGTGTCGAAGTTCACAGTGCTATGAACGCAGCTCTCTCAGGCTAAAAGAATGTTCTCTCTCTCTCTCTTCTTCCTTCTTTGTTTCTTCGAAGAAAAAAACTAAATCATTTGGCTTTTCAAGTGATTAGCGAAGGCCCTTTTTACTACAAAGGATGGAATAAATTAGAAATTGATTTTTCCTTTTTCATTGTGTTGGACTTTGTTTTTCAATAAATGATTTTGTTGACGGGCACAAAACATAAAGAAGTGTCGTGTGTTCATATCTCTATTTGTTGTGTTGAGAAACTAAAGTTTCGAATCTTTTTATGGTTTTCATTTCCTAATATTTTATGTAAGACTTGTGTTAACTCTCTTCTTTCATTTCACTTTATGTTTTTCCTGCATTTTTTAATGAAAAATGGAAACTGGTTAATTTAATGCGCCCACAATTTGCTACTTTGCGGGAAAATATGCTTTTCCATAGTTCAAGCTAGAAAACAAAAAATGAGAAGAAAAAACATAATGCTTTCGGATGTGATAAACTGAACCAGTAAAAATTTTGAATCAGAAATGGGCCTTAAAATAAAAAGTATGGGCTAAGTGCCAAACTAAAAAAGGCTTAAGCCCACTGCAAAGTCCGCGAAACCCAGATGATAATTGATTCCAAAACTTCTTCCCCCATTCGCAGAGTTAGAGCGTGCTATTAAGTTCCTTCTCATTTTACCCTTGACTCCGCCCAAAAAGCTCATTTTCGCAAAATGCAAAATTTCAGCACGTGAGGAGAAGTTTGATTAGGATTGAAATACATAGTTGTTTCTCCTAATAGGGGAATTTTAAAATCAATTGAAAAGGCCAAATTTGATCCAATTCATCCAAGAAGTTTTTAATTTCCACAAAAAAAAAAATCAAAATATTTAAAAAAAGAACTGTATTTTGGAAATGATTTCTAAAAATAAATGACCGATCACGACGATCTCGTTGACTTGGCCGCATAAAAATTTTCCACTTATATAATAGAAGGGCAACTATTTTTATCATATGTGTTATGTATATTAACTACGGATGTTAATAGACATATTCTTAACGAGAGTAAAATAAACAATAACTTTTGCCAATAATAGAGAAAGCTCTATCAGAATTTGAGTCATGAAGGCAGCTATTTTGTTTATCGTATCTTGTGTTGTTATGTTTCTTGTTTTGAATTATATTGGAGGTAACATATGAATTACCTTTTAGTATTTATATTCGTCATTCAGGGTATAAGGCAAAATTAATAGGAGATTCTAAAAAAAAAAAAAGGGTTCCTCCCTCCTAAAAGTTAGGAAGAGATTACTAAAATCAGTGAAGAACCTATCATAAGCTTTAAGTGATCCTCCCCAAATTTTTAGTAACTCTTCCTAAGATTTTCAACTACAATTTTGTTGCAGCCTTAATTGTGTCTTTAAAAGTATTTATCTACAATATAACAACTAACTCTGTTTATTTTATAAAAACAATAGATGTAGAAGCTGCACCCACACCTAAACGTAAGTGTGACCTTCAGGCTAGAGGAATTTACACTGGAAAATGTGGAAATGATGGAAACAAGGTGTGCAAAGGCGACACCAACAAGGAACATGGAGCCAACTATGCTATTTGTCAATGTTATGACATGCCTTTTAACTTTTCGGTTGCACATAAGTGCACTTGCAGCCATGGACCTTGCTAGATTTTGCTGTTTTTCCATAAACCAAACTTCTTACTAATAAATATGAAAGAATTCACTTCAGTGTTTGGTGTTGGCACGCCATCTATGTAAAAAAGCCGTATCAGGTTGATAATGTGTGGTTTACATATATTTATACAATCAATAAGATTTATTACTTAGAAAGTAGTATGTACGTGTATATTCCAATTGTTTTATTTTTTGGGGGAAGTACTCATGCAGTTCCAAATATCTGAGACTGTTATATGATATCACAAAATTCCTTACCTTTTTTATCATCTTTTAGTATCTTGTAATTCATTTACCTAACTCGCTAATTAATTACACCCTAAAAAAACTCTCTATTAGTTTCTGCTGAGAAACTAATATATCAGTCATTAACAAACAAACAAAAAAACTAATATATCAGTAAGACTTGTTTTAATTATATCTGACTTTGATTAGATTAAACTGAAGCACAGTAATCGTTGTGCAATTCGTATGTTATAGCATTTTCTACACATATAATAGTGAAACAGATATGAAGAATTTGAGGGAATATGCATTTTTGCTAAAAGAATTATGCATGAGAAAATTAGATATCCACATGCTAACTAGCTCTAAGTTAGAGATATTCACGTGTATAATAATTTTAAGTTAGGTATCAATTATATCACTATAAATAAAAGGCTTAGGTGCCTATATCATTATAAATAATAGTTTTAAGTTAGGTATACATTATATCATTATCCTGTAATCGAATCTGAGAGAAAACTTAAGTGTCTTTATAATTTGTAAGTGTGTAATATAAATAAAATATCCTTCTTTGTATAATATGTTTACCATCTTTTAATTAACCTTTTAAATACCCTTGATCTTAATAAACATTCTTTGTGATTGTATCCACTGTGTCTGTAAATTTAACTTATCAGCAACTTTATTTCCTTGTCAGTGGATCCAAATAATTCGCATATCCTCAAACTTCTGAAGCCAATGTCCAATTCTCATAATCCACCTGTGTCCCCATCACCAACTCGCGTAAAATCTTTGCATTGCTATCAGTAAAGCTTTTAAAGCCGTTAAATCCTCCTTCAGTAACCCAAGCTGCTTTTGGCTTTTGAGTTATGTTTAGAAAATTTCCATCATTATTACATTCGACCCAAATTATGAGCTGAGATGCGTAAAGGTCGATCGTCATGTGCCAAACATTGAGCGGTTTATCAAAGTGCGCTTAGTTTGCCTGTACTTTAGAATTCGGAAATGGGAAGGGCTATGAAAATACTAAACTGTTGCGAAATGAGAATATATCAATTGGACATCGGCTCCGGAAGCTTTTTAACAAGTGGTATCATGAATCTGTGATTAAATATATCAAATTTTGGGACAGTACTGATTTTGTGAGAGATGAGTAAATTAAATTAGATGATAACATGTGAAGCCCCCGTTACATACACAAACTTACAAAAGAGGAAAGAAGGTTGAGTGAGAGGGAAATAGGAGAGTTGCAAACATTCTGATACCTGACCAAATGAGCCAAACACGGTCTCCGAGTCTGACTCTGTTTGGTCTGAAAGACAGATCTCTGGGACTGTCATGTCATAATTTAGAGTGGTTCCTCCATGGACAACCTCCTTCGAATGCATTTTCAAGAACGTCTTCCATTCTCTTTGCCAATATCACCTGTTTGCACCATTCATTCATACCGATTTTAGATCATTAAAGAGGACCAACCCGATCCAGCTACGCTAGAGATGGAATTATATATTTTATGATAGAATAACCAACAAAAAAAAAGGGTCAGCCCATGTCGGACCAAACCCACAAGGACCAGACCAGACCAGACCAGACCAGACCAGACCAGACCAGACCAGACCAGACCAGACCAGACCTGGCAAACCCAAGAAGAAGAAGACTGAGATTGAAGTTAAATAACTAACCTCCAGACTGGAAAGTACAGCTGCAGGTACTTCAACTAAGTCCTTTGAGTTCCTCTGCGGTAGAATCACTCTTTTGATACCATACCGATGTGCAGCCAGTATCTGTTCATCAAATTTAACACAGATGTGTTCAATTAAACTTCATATAGTTTCAAGAACTTGTTCCAAACAAACATGAAAGATAAATTAACCCAATTTTGGATTATTTTTAACACATGTGAAGCTCCGGACTGCTAGAATTTAGAAGCAGCTTACCTTATCTTTGATGCCACCAACGGGTAGGACGAGACCTCTGAGTGTCATCTCTCCGGTCATGGCTGTGTCTGCTCTTACACGTTTCTGACTGAACAGCGAAACCAGAGCCGTCACCAAAGTCACACCTGCTGAAGGTCCGTCTTTAGGCACAGCACCAGCAGGAAAATGAATGTGAATGTCTCGTCCATCAAGAACATTCATGTCCCCTGCAAGTGCCAGCTTGAAATCCGACGCACGGGCTCTTACCTACGAAACATCAATGGATGATCAACTAAAAGCTTTCTCAAAGTATTATTTTCTATGTTCTGAATTAGTAGACGCAGTCGACTGGTGTAGTGAGTGAGGTTTCAAGCAAAGATGTTTACCCATGTGAGAGCTAACTGAGCAGATTCTTTAATAACATCTCCGAGTTGGCCTGTCAAATGCATTTCTCCCTTACCCACCATAGATGTAGCCTCCACGAACTGGACCTCTCCACCGAAAGTAGTCCATACGAGACCAACAGAAACACCAGCTGATGCCACTCGATCAGCGGCTTCACTGTCATCAAACCTTGGAGGCTGCATTGCACCCCAACAAAACAGCACGTGATTAAGTTCCACAAATGTTATATCACAATATATAACAACCACCAACGATAATATTCTATACAAATATTTGTAAGTGAATAGATCAGAGGAAAGCTTTACCCCCAGGATTTTTTCAAGCATGGTCTCATCCACCACCAAAGCTGAGGGACTCTGGAAGGTACTTCCAATCTCATGATCATTTACACCCATTGGAATAACTTCCATTTCCACTTCGCCTCCCTCAGCCATTCTACCATTAAGCAGAGGAGAAGCAAGTTTCTGCACATCTTTGCTTAATGGAAGAGATTGTTCATGCTCTGCGACCATCACAGCAGCTGCACGAGCCAAAGCAGCCAAGTTTCTTTCTAGGCTACGAACACCGGCTTCCCTTGTGTACCTCTGAATTATATTCTTTACCATAGCCTATGGCCACCAATATAAGAAGGAAAATAAAGAAGAAACTGCATAAGCCCACCACGAGAAACGGTGATTAGCAGTACATTAAAATTTTCAATAATAATAAGATACCTCTGGGATCTTGAGGAACTCAGAACTCAGCCCATGCTGCTCTAAAACTCGAGGAATCAGATGACGCATTGCTATCTTAAGCTTTTCCTCTTGCGTATAACCTGGCAACTCAATTAGCTCCATCCTGTCTAAAAGAGGAGGTGGAATGGGCTGAACCCTATTCGCAGTGGCAACAAAAACCACCTTCGATAAGTCATATGGAACATTCAGATAGCTATATTTTCAGTTAAGGGTAACTGTTGATCCATAAAATAGGGTGTCAAACTATATCAAACATCATCTACGCATCTAATAAAGAATATGGTTTTTGCCTACGAGTAGGTGAAATTTTCAATTTCAAGATTTAAAACTCAAGAAACTTTCAACAAGGCTAACAAAACTTGCACGCTGAAGGTAATATA